CCGGTGTCACCTCCTCCCTTGCTCGGTCTTCATCCTCTTCACCCTGCATCCATGTGCTGCTGAATCCAGCTGGGGCTGCCCCTGGAGACTGCTCCTGCTCCATCTCCATGCCTGTTGCCTGGCAATGCTCTCTAGTTCCTGAGGTCCTGACATGTCTGGGAACAGGTTTTTTTAAGCACATCACGTCCTGCCTGCTCCTTGCCCTTGCTAAATCTCCTCTGCCAGCCTCCCTGCGCATTTTCCTGGAGGAAGGACTCTAAATAAAGCAACCTGTGTATTCTTCTTCCCCCTCAGAGCTTGTGTAACCTGCGGTTGACCCCTCCTAGTCCTTCCCAAACCACAGCCCCAGTATGTGCTGCCTGCCGCCGCCGTCACTGCTGCTCTGGCATTTTTATGAATGGCCTTGAGCCCAGGGAAGAGATGTGAGTGTGGATTTGGAACAGCTCCATCCCTTCTACCGCACGCGCTAATCTTGACAAATGATCAGCGTGTGGCTTTCGAAACCAGAGATAAGGCTGTCTGACCACTTCAAGTCACTACACTTTCCCACGAAGAAAGGGATTTTGTTCTCAGCCCCTGGTCACAGCTTCCTCCTGAGCCTGGGCAAATCCAGGTGCCCCCCACCCCATAGCTTGAGGGGGAGACACACTACAATCACACCCCTTGGGAGTGGGGCCAGGGTCTGATTCAGGACAAAACCTTGGCAACCTCCAAACAAGGCAGATGTCGTGACATTACCTGAGTTTCTGATGCTACTGGCTGGACCAGGGCTGCCTCCTGCCTGCACGCCTGCATCTCTTTCCTGTTGAAGCCAATGGCAGAAGTGGTCCATGCCCAGCACGGAGCTGGGATGGGGCTGAAGCATGTGCTGGGAGCCAGCAAGAGCTTCCAGTCCTGCAGCTGAGCTATGACCATTCTGGTCTTCCTTGAGCTCAGTTTTAGCCAAGAACTGGAGCACCTGAAGGACTCCTGGCTCTACTGGGGTCACTGATGTCCTTGGACTGGTTTCCCACTGCACTGCTATGGCATTTGGGACATGCATCTTGCCTGTCAGTTTGGATAACACAGCATCCCCATTCCTCCCTGGGGCTGGGGGAGCAGCCGTGGGGTAGCTGCAGTGTCTTCACAGGGAGTAAAACGGCTGAGTGAGCCCTGGGTGGATCCTGCTGGATGTGCACCTGGGAAAGCTGGACTTTCCAGAAGGCTCCCTCTCTCTCAGACACAGACCCGCTGCCAAGGGAAAAGGCCTCTGTGAGTGCCAATTCAAGGAATGCCTTTGATCCAGTGGGAATCGTTAGGGAGAAACTCTGCCTCTAAATTGAGCTGCTCTCTTGCCTTGCCACTTTGGGAAATGAATTTGTACTCGGAAAAACTTGGGCTGGGAGAGATCTTGGAAAGACATCCAATCCATTTCCCTACCCCAAATTGGTCCTGACAGATTTTTTTTTTATCTAACCTTTCCTTTAAAATCTCCAGATGGCTCAAACAGTCTCCTCCAGGGCTATATTCATTTTACTACCAGGTATTTTTTTATTATTAATATCCAACCTAAATTTCCCTTGGTGCAATCTGCTCCTATCCCACGGCAACACAGAGGGCAACTGTCCTCTTACCACTGTACGCCGTGCACCCCACCCTGCCCAGCATGGTGGGTGCCTTTCCAGCAGTGGTACCTATTTAAAGCTCAGGATTAGGGTAGACAAGGCTGGTCCTGGCCATGAGCAGGCAGAGCTGAATAGTTCCTGAACTATTCTGTCCTATCACTTTTCCTATTGCTATGCTGGCCCACAGGAGGGTTTGGTGTGCAAGAGTGCACACCCACTGTGCCTTGTGCAGGCACCAAACATCTCACCCAGGTGGGAATGGGAGGTCAGAGGCTGGGGGCTTGTTGACCCATGAAGGGAGGCAATTATTCAGCTGATGAGGCCATGCAGATGTTAATTAAAAAGCATGCGAAGCAGAACAGGTCACTGTTTGGTGTCATCCACTCATGAAATTAGCCCTGTGGTAGTTCACCGAGCCCTCCCTGGGAGACAGAGCAGGGGAAGAGCTGCCTGTAGTACCTCTGCTCTTACTCTCATCTCCTCCAGCTGAGCTCCTATTTCTGGGTGCATCCTGGGTCCTGCACAATGTCTCTGCTTTTCATCCAACTCTCTGCTGGATCCTTAGTAGAGAAAACCTTCTGCTTGTTCATTCCTGGTCTGGCCTGGAACATAGCTGTGCAGAGGAGTCCAGGTGGAGAAACATGCTGAGCTGCTGCAGGAGGTGCTCACACAGGGACACGGATGGACACAGCCTCCTAGGCCAGGCACACCTGTGGGTGTCCCTTGGTAGGGTCCCAGGTTTCCCCAGCATCCAGATTTGATCAGCAGCAGCAGCTTTGATCTGATCCCCTTCACTCTCCAGCCAAGGCCAGGAGGGAAGGCAGAGCTTTTCTCTGGGAAGCACCAAGGGCCGGTGCTCCCTCACCCAAAGGCCACCAGGGAGCAGGTCTGCAGAGCCCTTCGGCAGCAGTTCAGGGTGGTGAAGGCCTTCCATTCCACTGGAGAGCTTGGCGCTCACCACGCACTTCACATCTCTGGGAGATAGGGCTTGGCATCATCTGTTAACCCCTGGGACATGCCCAGGTCAGGAGAATGCTCTGGTAGGAAGGAGTCTCCTGTTTCTTCTCCACATGAGCACTTCTCCAAAGCCAGGATGCTGTGCCAGGCTCCACATGGGCACCCTCCTGTGCCCGGCCAGAGCTCGCGCTGCGGTGGGGACCAGCAGCAGCACAGCTAAGCATCAAAGAGTCAAACCCGAGCTGCTCCCTGAGAAGTGCAACTTAACAAATCCCAGTTTCCTGCCGCTCTGTCTCATGGTTGGATTAGCTCATGGCTAATAAGGCACATGAGAGTTTTTCCCATGGTTTGGGGCACTCATAATGGCTCTCTCCCGTGTGGATTCTTTGATGTCTTATAATAGAGTTGATGATGAATCCATTTCCTCAGTAGGGACCCAAGTTTGGCGCTCTCTTGTCTACCCAGATGCCTTTTTTCATAAAACAGTTAGACAATAGAACAACAAAATGGAATTCAGTCTCTCTGAGGATCCTGTCTTGCTATGAAATCTGGCAGAAAGTGACCCAGAGCTTCAAAAGTGAGGTTGGACAGCAGGGACAGGCAAGCACATAGACACACGCACCCACACAAGCATGATGGCTCCCACCTCCTTCCCTTCCACAGCCAAGCTAGCGAGAACAAATGAGCATGCTCTTAACTCTGCCCTGCCATGCCAGTGAAGGGGATCAGATCAATCATTGCAGCGCAGGCTTGAAGGCCAGGACCAAGAGCTTTTTCTAAAACCGTGCAACACCAGATGTTTTTTTCCTGAGGCCTCAGACACACACGTGCAGCACACTGTTATTAAAACTGGCTCATACTCCCTGCGCACAGGGAAAAAAAATTAAGGCTGTGCACAAGGTTAGTTCTCAACTTTGGCATCCAGCATTAAACCATGCAGGCTCGGTCGACTTTTGTTTGTTTTTATAGAGTTGCTTATAGACCATCCCTCCTGCAGCATCCCAGCAGAGTGGAACAATTCGATGCACCAGCTGGACAAGAAGTGCTTCATGTGCTGCCAAATATACCATGTAAAAACCATAATGCAGCCACCTCTGGGGTGCAGCCTGACAGGCGCATGGCAATTGCAGCAACACCCTGCAGCAGATTGAACCGAGAGGAGGGAGCCACTTGAGAGGATGCACTGGTTCATTACACAAACTTCCTCCTCTTGGTTTTCCGCCTGGTCTTTCCAGCCTGCCTCCCCCAGCACCGCTCTCCTGTGGATTTTTCTTCTCCTGCTAATGTTTCTGTATTCACCTCAGACCGAGCCAAAGGCTCATTTTAGCTGAAAAAGGCCGTTTGTCTCGGTATCTTACCATCTCTGTCTCAGTGTCAGCCCAAGCCTTGATGCCTCCTTCCCCCAGCAGCAGGTTTCACTCCCACATTTGGGATTCCACCCAGCCACCCTTTCTCGGCCACTTCGTGTTTTCCTCCAAGAGTTTTGGAAAAGGATTGCACACCTCACTGTGGTGCTTCCCTGCCTGGGCTGGTTGGGGCTGGCCTCTGCCAGCCAAGGCGGGAGCCTCATCAGATCCCTGGTGTGTTCTCAGTGGGATGCCCAAGGGTCCAAGTATCCTGAGGACAGCAGGATGCTCAGCCCAGGCTCTGCTTATATGATAAAATCTCCTGCTCCCTGGCTTGGCCTCGCCTCTGCAGGGCTGTGAGCTGACTTCCACTGGGTAGCACCAGGGATGTCACCCCCCTCCCAAACTGCCCAGTGCCCCAGTGGGGGTCCTCTCTCCCTCACCCAACAGCAAAGGTTTCCGTGGCTCACACAAAGGTTCTTACGCTGATGTGGTGAATGATGCAGTGCCTGGGGCTGCTGTCGGGGCAGGGTAGGGTGCTCAGCACCCAGCCGTGCGTGGGGACAGTGGGGTGCAGGTTAACAGGGATCTCTGCCATGCAGGAGGTGTAGGAGACCCGAACCTGCCTTCCAAAACCACCTGGGAGGAAATGTCCCTGGCTGTGGGAGATCCACAGGTCTGCGGGGAAAGGCAAGGGGTTCTCCAGGAGCCGAAGCCCAGATCTACCATGGAGGGCTGAAATCAGCTCCAAAACGGCCCTTCCTGCACAACCCCGGCCCTGGGTTCGCTGGGCCCTCGTGGTGCTGGATACATCAGGCTGGTGCCAGCCAAATGACTGACAGCTGCCAATCTCCAGCAGCAAAGATCGCCTCGAGCCGATGCCCAAGGGAGGGAGCGAAGGTCCCTCCAGCCCTTCCCTTGGCCGGCGCTCCGGGGTGAGGCCGAGCCGGCGGGCTGGGGGGGGCCCCGGGGCCGTGCGGGTACCCCGCGGCTCCAGACCCCGCTGCACCTGCTACCCCGGCCCGGTGCCCGGGAGGGG